TCACTTTCAAAACTCTTTTTTTTTTCCAGCTGATGAACGATAAAACACTGACAGCCAATCAGAATCCATCCTGCTGTAACAAGCTCAAGAATTTAAAGCGGCAGACGCATGAGGACTTAGAATAAACAGACGATATCGTTCGCTGGTGTGGACGCTAATATCGTTATATTTATAGTTATCGTTCTTGGTGTGAACGGGGCTTTAGTGTTTTATCGTTCATCAGCTGGAAAAGAAATCGTTTTGAAAGTGATCACAACGATATTGTTTCTCTGTATCGTTATCGTAATAGTTGTGGTGTGAACTATGCTATTCTTTAATACTGAGAACGATTTTTAGGACTGTATCTTTATCGTTATCGTGCTTGGTGTGAACGGGCCTTTAGTCCATAAGTTGTGGGTTGTGTTGTGGGCCCTTTACAATATTGGTACGCTGTGCCCTCAACTGCCAGTGATTGAGGCGAGGGGTTGTCTTATTTACAGTATATGTGGTACTTTATGATGTTTAGATCTTGAACAAATTGAGATGTGTTGAGCTGAAGCGACACAAGTGATCACCTAAATCTTTCAGTTTACGTGTCATGCCTAAATTGAATCTCAAGAATACTTGCTGAATATTGCTGGTTCGTGATATACATACACGCACAAATCAAAGAAATCATGCTGAACGTCAGGTTTAAGATGAATGGTTATCACCAGAAAGACCACAGTTTGCCCAAATCTGTAGTCATTTAATGTCAGTGCCGTTCGAGTTTTGGGGTTTTTCTCTCCCAAAGATTTTGTTTCTTCCAAAGTTCACTACATTAGCCTTTCCATTCTGTTTGCCTTGCCTTGCCTATTGTCAATGTGTTTGTTCCCTAAACTGAGTTAAAAGTTTACAGTGAATGAAGAATTGGTAATATTGCAAATTTAAATGTGGCAAACTTTTAGCTTGACATTCGTGAAAAGACCATCTGCAAGTCTCATATTGTGATAGATACAATGAATCTAATGCATGTTGAATCTAGTTCCCTCATTGAAGCCCATTGTTTGTGACAAGTGCCTCCTCATATGAATGTATGACGTAGTTTTGTGACTGGATTGTTGCATTAGTTTGCCGTTTCATCATCTCATCCAAATGGAGCAAGGGCCTGACCCGATAGGACCATTTTATCTGGACACCTCACTATTGAATTCCCATGATGCTTTGCGTTGTGAGGGCCTGGCTAACTATACATTAGCATCTCAAAAAAGGAAGTTTCAGATTTGCCTAGATTTAATATTATTTTGGTATGGATGATTTTTTTAGAAAACGGTCTTCTGATGTAGACAAGCTCTTTAAATGTTATAATAGCCTATTCAAATGTTTGATCTTAGATACACTGAAAAAAAATGTCCATTCATCCAATTAAAAAAATTTAGGGTAACATTTTTTCAGTGTATAGAAGATACTTGTTATAGTATCAAGACTAACTGCATAGAACTGAAACCTCAGTGCGAGTTACTGACCATAATTCTCAGTATTAGCATATGGATAGATTTGGTTGGACTCGTTTTCTTGTCATTTGATTCGTTTTTTGATGTTATAGTGGCATTTTCTGTGTTTTGCTGTCTAGCCTAACTTCAGACCTCAGTCTAAGCCATACCATTTGCAGTTGCTGTAGGATTCCTAGGTCCTTGTATTGTGCCTATGACTGGAATGAAAGCTTTCTCTGAACCTGTCACAATCTCACAAGCACAGGCAGTCGGTTATATATTCAAGTTATGCGCTCTGGGCCAACAGTTTGTGGAAGTCTCATGTCTCATGAAGTCTCAACTGGTGTTTCTTTGTTTTTGTTTTTTTATTGTGGGTGTATCATCTTGGTCTGGCGACAGGTTTCAGTTTAACATTCATCTCCAAAGAATCATCCTGTGTGTAATCATGTTCATCACATGTGGAAACATAAGAAGTCGGTTCACACAGAATGCGTTTTTGCATTCCAATGTGGTGTGTTTTTAAAATTATTTTCCAAAGTAAACACACTGTTGCGTCCGTAACTCGCTGCTTTTTCAGCATCGCACTCATAAGCGATGCATTTTTACACTTTTACAATTAGTTAAAATTAGTGTTAAAACGTGAAAATTAGTGGTGTCAAGCGATTAATCGCGATTAATCGCATCCAAAATAAACTTTTTTGTTCACATAATATATGTGTGTACTGTGTATATTTATATGTATATATAAATACAAACACATGCATGTATATATTTAAGAAAAAGATGTAATGTTTATATATTAAATATAATTATATATAATATAAATTATATAAATATATTTTCAAAATATGTACTGTATGTGTGTGCTTTTATATATACATAATAAATATATAGTATGCACACATATATTATGTAAACAAACTTTTATTTTGGATGCGATTAATCGTTTGACAGCACTAGTTAAAATAAAAGCGTTAAAATAAAGCTGCTTGAGACCCTGCATTTTTCGCATTTTGGAGCACTCGCTTTTTTAAACGCAAGAAATACTGACATCTTTTTTCGCTCTGCCACTTCTCATTCAGATCGATTCCGTATTGCTTTTTTTAAGCTACTTTTTGTCCATCTGCACTGTTTTACATGCAGCTTTTTTTAGCATTTTACGCAATGAACACCATATTTTTAGGATGCTACTTCATGTTAAACAATCTTTTTAAATGGATCTTGATGCGCCTTCAATTCCATTGAAGTTGTTTGTTGCTTTTGAATGCAAGTACACATCCTGTATAAATGGCCCCAAGGGTTTTACCTTTAGTTGAGTGATGACTACTCTACATTTCTTATGAGCTCCAGAAATATATTCACAGCAATGAATTATGACTAATTTTTAGCCTAACAGTATTAGATGCAAAATTAAACATTTGTCAGTTTGGGGATATTAGTTGCTAGCAAGCATCTGCTATGGAATAGATATGAATTTAATGTTCAGTCATTCTTTAACACGCAATGACACTTTTTTTTTTATAATCCATCCAGTTCAATGTATTAGAATAATGATGACAGTGTGAAAATTAGAATTTGGTTATAGTTTGGATTTTAGTAACTTGATCATTCCAATCAATACAATACAGATCATTTCTTTATTGTAAAATGTAAACATAGCTTGATTTCTCATAAGTTTTGTCATTATATTTATTGTGTAGAAGACATTTTGTTTTGCATTATTAGTGTCATAATGTATGTATAAGACAGGATCATGTAGAGTTGCCATCTGTCATACCTGAAATTACTTGAATTATGTGTGCACAATGCTTTAAAACACCCATACTTTTAATAGTATAGAACACTTGCATTTACAGACTGAATATTGCATCAGAATGGTTCCACTGATCATTTCTCTTTGTCCTAAGAATGTCTTCATTCAGAATGCATTTCCCCTGTGAGCGATCAAAGGAGGAATAAATCACCACAAGCACATTTTAAAACGGCCTACAACAGGACAAATTGTTAAGGCACAGGCAGGGATTGACCTATTATAAACTATGCTGTCCTACAATCTAAAACTGTGTAACCCTAAGAGAATTGACCTTGGGGGCCTATGTTTTTGTTCACATAATATATGTGTGTACTGTGTATATTTATATGTATATATAAATACAAACACATGCATGTATATATTTAAGAAAAAGATGTAATGTTTATATATTAAATATAATTATATATAATATAAATTATATAAATATATTTTCAAAATATGTACTGTATGTGTGTGCTTTTATATATACATAATAAATATATAGTATGCACACATATATTATGTAAACAAACTTTTATTTTGGATGCGATTAATCGTTTGACAGCACTAGTTAAAATAAAAGCGTTAAAATAAAGCTGCTTGAGACCCTGCATTTTTCGCATTTTGGAGCACTCGCTTTTTTAAACGCAAGAAATACTGACATCTTTTTTCGCTCTGCCACTTCTCATTCAGATCGATTCCGTATTGCTTTTTTTAAGCTACTTTTTGTCCATCTGCACTGTTTTACATGCAGCTTTTTTTAGCATTTTACGCAATGAACACCATATTTTTAGGATGCTACTTCATGTTAAACAATCTTTTTAAATGGATCTTGATGCGCCTTCAATTCCATTGAAGTTGTTTGTTGCTTTTGAATGCAAGTACACATCCTGTATAAATGGCCCCAAGGGTTTTACCTTTAGTTGAGTGATGACTACTCTACATTTCTTATGAGCTCCAGAAATATATTCACAGCAATGAATTATGACTAATTTTTAGCCTAACAGTATTAGATGCAAAATTAAACATTTGTCAGTTTGGGGATATTAGTTGCTAGCAAGCATCTGCTATGGAATAGATATGAATTTAATGTTCAGTCATTCTTTAACACGCAATGACACTTTTTTTTTTATAATCCATCCAGTTCAATGTATTAGAATAATGATGACAGTGTGAAAATTAGAATTTGGTTATAGTTTGGATTTTAGTAACTTGATCATTCCAATCAATACAATACAGATCATTTCTTTATTGTAAAATGTAAACATAGCTTGATTTCTCATAAGTTTTGTCATTATATTTATTGTGTAGAAGACATTTTGTTTTGCATTATTAGTGTCATAATGTATGTATAAGACAGGATCATGTAGAGTTGCCATCTGTCATACCTGAAATTACTTGAATTATGTGTGCACAATGCTTTAAAACACCCATACTTTTAATAGTATAGAACACTTGCATTTACAGACTGAATATTGCATCAGAATGGTTCCACTGATCATTTCTCTTTGTCCTAAGAATGTCTTCATTCAGAATGCATTTCCCCTGTGAGCGATCAAAGGAGGAATAAATCACCACAAGCACATTTTAAAACGGCCTACAACAGGACAAATTGTTAAGGCACAGGCAGGGATTGACCTATTATAAACTATGCTGTCCTACAATCTAAAACTGTGTAACCCTAAGAGAATTGACCTTGGGGGCCTATGTAGAAAAAACAAAAACACTGAACTCTACTGTGAGAATTGTTTTTTTTAATGACATTTTTAAATACTAATTTTCTACGGAAAGCGCAACTCTCATTAGTGCAAAATAAATATTTCGATACATAATGTTTATATAAATATTATGAGAATATTTATTTTTTTTAATAGAAGTGTTCCTATTTTATTTTCCCAAATATGCATTCCAGAAAACCATAAGCAATGGAGTCTGACCAGCTTCATTGCTTTGGTCGTGCCTTCACTTGGCGTCTCTTTATTTGATTGGTCGTGAAAGTTCTCGCCAAGAACTTTCCATTATGTGAAAAAGAGGAGGTTGCATTGGCCAGCAGAGCATCTATAGCGATGATACCTTTATTTACGTAGATGAATGCAGAATAGAGGAACAGATATACTTAGCCACTCTAGTGGGCATTGAATCACTCATTTTTGTCCTCTTGATGAATTGTTTGTAATGAGAAAGTGATATAAAATTGGTCTTGATAACAATAAAAATGTCTTCCCGACAGTCTTTTGTGATTTCTGTCTTTACTACGTATTGCTATCATTCAATAACTGCAATAGTGCTTCAATAAAGGATTGACTATCATTTCACACAGTTTAACATCAGCATTAAATTGATTCCTGTGGTCCCATTCGGAAAACTGTCAAAACACTTCGGCATCTCCACAAATAATCACTGTAAGTAAGCTCCTGTCATTATAATATAATTATTTAAACTGCAATAAAATTAAGGCACATGATACAAATAAAATTGTGTTAATACATTTCTAGGATTAAGCAGTGCTATTACATAAACTTAATATAATGCATTTTTTTTAATAATAGTTTTTCACACAGTAATGATTAGGATTAGTCATTTGTTGTGGTCCAGGGGTTGTTTTTTACTTCATGGTCATCTCTGTTTAGATGCATTTATCTATGCATCTAAATAGTGAGGACCATTAGTCCCATGAATATGAATAAAAGGACATAGGACTGTTCATTTCTTCTTTCTCTTTTCCACAATCTTGACGAAGTTCTGAACATCCTCTGCCAATAACTGTGGCTCCTCCATAGCAGCAAAATGGCCCCCGCGAGCCATGGGAGTGTAAGTCTTGAGTTTATGGTATTTCTGGGTCACCCACAATTTAGGGGAATGCATCACCTCATTAGGGAAAGAGGCCACACCGGTCGGAACGTAAACTGGAAGCCTATTGGGAAAAGAGAGACATGGCATACTAATTTAGTGATTTTTGGATTGTCATTTGTGGTCAGTAAGATTTTCTTTTTCTTTTTACTTCAGAAGTTAATGCATTAAATTTACATTTAGCAGACGATTTTATCCAAAGCGACTTACAAATGAGGACAATAAAAGCAGTCAAAACTAACAAAAGAGCAACAATATATAAGTCCAAATGACAAGTCTTGGTTAGCCTAACGCAGTACACATAGCAAGGTGAATATATATATATATATATATATATATATATATACACATATATTATATACACACACAAACACACACACAAAGAAAAAATAGAATAGAAAAATATAATTTTCATTTTTTTTATAAAAAAATTATAAATGTAGATAAAGTAGAATTAAAATAGAATAGAAAGTGCTAGAGTTAGAGGGTCAAATAGATCAAAAGTGATAGTAAAGACTAACAAAAAGTCTATTTCAAATAAACACTGTTCTTATTCTTCAAATAATGTACCAAGGTTTCCACAAAAATATCAAGCATCTCAAATGTTTTCAACATTGATAAGAAATGTTTCTTAAGCACCAAATCAGTATGTTATAATGATTTCTGAATGATAATGTGACACTGAAGACTGCTGAAAACTAATTTTTATATTCGATCAAAAGGGTGCTTCTACTAAATACTGAGCAAAGGGTCTGAATACTTAGGACCATGTGATATTTCAGTTTTTCTTTTTTAATAAATCTGCAAAAATGTCAACAATTCTGTGTTTTTCTGTCAATATGGGGTGCTGTGTGTACATTAATGAGGGAAAAAAATTAACTTAAATGATTTTAGCAAATGGCTGCAATATAACAAAGAGTGAAAAATTTAAGGGGGTCTGAATACTTTCCGTACCCACTGTATATTCAAACAGAAAACAGTCATTTTAAATTGTAATATTTTACAATATTAGTGTTTCAACTATTTTTAATATACAGTACAGACACTTCTTTCAAAAACACATCAAAAAATGTTGCTGACCTCAGACAGTAGTGTTCATATTTACACATTGCCCACATTTCTGTGCCAAATTTCAAATAGTTTTGGGCACACACAATATTGATGAGTACTGAACAGAAAATACAGCTTCATGTAATGTTAATCAAAGTCTGTAATTCTCTTACTTTGCATGGGGCTGGTTCAGGCCTCTGCCGAAGTTCTCCTTGTAGAAACGCATGGAGGATATAATGCACCTAGAGGTCCAGTAGATCATCACATTTGTCAGGAGATCATCAAGAGAATACTTCCTGTTGGGGAATTGACAGATTATTTAACTGAACACACATTTCACCAACCTATAATAAAGCTGAACTCAAATATGACTACCTCTCCAGCCCACCATCCTCAAGGTTCTTAAACTCAGGGTGAGTCCAGGTCGAAAATTTCTCCAAAATGTAGGCAGCCAAACCAACGGGAGAGTCATTCAATCCACGGCCTGTGCAATACAGTCAAGCTTCAAATCAAAGTCTGTTGTTCAATAACACCAAATGTAGAATCCAATGGACCAGTGTCACAACAGATTCATATGTGAAGTCTATTTAAAGCTGCACATTCTAAATATTTCAATATGTCTGTCACCTGCAGTGTCAGGTTTAGTGGACTGTATGTGCATGTATCCAGTCTCCCTTAATGCGTCTACTACAAGCTTTTCCATAGTGGGGAAAAGGCGTTTCAGATCATGCTCGGTGAAGCCAAAGAGTTTGGGGAATCGGCGACCAAAAAGTATAGACAACACCATGAGAAGGCCTGCTTGTCCAGGGGGAGCAAAGTTAATGTGGAGGCCTTTCACAGCACTGAGGACAACAAAGATGAACAACAAAAATCAATTCTTGAAATCTTTCAAGTACTTGAAATGTTTATTTCTATACACATTATCTTCTTGTAATATATCTGACTAATTTACTGCATTCTAGTTGAGGATTTCAATATGATGAAATACAGGGGTTCTCAACCAGGGGGCCCCAATAACTTAAAATTATTTAAATTTAGTTATATTAACTATTTTAAAATGTAAAAAAAAAATTACAACATTAACATTTCGTCCACTTATGTTTTATTAAGAACCAGAGGTAAATATCAGCTTTAACAAAGGGCCTTCAAGTCTTTAGTGCATTCAAGTCATGTTGAAAAGAAAGCGCACAAGTGAGAAAAAAATGGGAAACGCAATAAATGCAGCATCTGCATTGATGGTAAATTTGATGAAATTAATGAAATGACAAATGTATTGGCACTTGAATGCACCAATTGTCTTGGACAAAGTAGGGCCTTAGAGTCAAAAAAGTTGAGAACCAATTTGATATGCTTTTATACATACTTGGGCTCCAGCTGGGCCATATTAGTCGTAATAAGCGAGCCCCAGTCTCCTCCCTGAACATAGTACTGGTTGAAACCAAGCCTCTTCATCAGTTTATTAAATATGTGAGCTGCACATACGGTGTCAAAACCTGTGCAAAACACATTATGATCATAAAAAAATAAAAACATTGAAAAAATTGAATCTACATGTGTTTGAAACAATAAAATATCTGTTGGGTTGGGTTGTTTGCCCTTTACCTTTCTTACGTGGAGCCTCTGAGAAACCATAACCAGGTATTGAGGGACAAATGACTTCGAAGGTTATGTCATCAGGACTGGACGGCTCCGTAAGCAGGGGGATGATGCCATAAAACTCATAAAAGGAGCCTGGCCATCCATGTACCATCATCAGAGGCACAGCACGGGTTCCCTCGGCCAGGTTGTTTGGTTTCACGTGAACATAGTGAATATCAATACCTTTATATTGATAATAAATAAATAAATACAAAAACTTAATTATGGATTTGTTTCTCACAACCACACAGTTCTTAACAGGATGTTCATTGACGGACTGGAGTCGTGTGGATTATTGTGATGTTTTTATCAGCTGTTTGGACTCTCATTCTGACGGCACCCATTCACTGCAGAGGATCCATTTATAAACAAGTGGTGTACTACTGAATAGCTCCAAAACATTTCAAATGAAGTAACAAACTAATCTATATCTTGGATGGCCCGAGGATGAGTCAATTTTCAGCTACTTTTCATTTTTGCGTGAACCATTCCTTTAAGGTGCATTTACCGTTGCTCTGTGAGATTTTGCATGATGTACATGAAATCTGCATGACATTTTGCAAACCTTCGCTAAAAATGTAGCTAATGTGACTACACCTTTATTATAGCTGTGTAGTAGTAAGGACTCACCTTCGATTTTGGTTTTGAAATGAGGGTATTTGTTCAGTTTATCCACTTGTTTCCTCCAGTTAAAATCATTCCTCCAATAAGACACAACCTTCTCAAGGTATTTGGAGTTAAAGCCATAGTTAAACTGACTGTCTTCAAGAGAAGGAAAGGAACGGGTCTGATCTAGCCTGCGGTGCAGATCCTAAGGAATATAAAAGAGCTGTTGCAACAGACCAAATACACACCAAAACATATTTCCAGTGAAACGACTATACGATATTTTATTCTAATGATTACATCAGGATTTACCTCAATCTCTTCTGAAGTTGTCTCAACTTTAAAAGGGTGGATACTGTCATCCTCAGGTACTTGGGGACAAGCTCCCACACCCCACCACCCATCCTGAGCTTTCAGGACACTCTTTCTCTTCTTCAGGAATACCAGGGCTACCACCGCTCCGAGCCCCAATGCCACTGCCAACTCTTTGTACATGGCTTAGGGCCCTGGAACGGAGCAAATTACATTTTTATGTCCTCCAAGTAAACTGAAGTGGGAGAAATGTCAATAGTTGGCTCATGGATCACCCTTGCAGGGATTGCAACCTTTCATACAACCACTAGGTAACGTGCTTTTAATGCATGCATGCAAAAAAATGGAGCAAAGGTTTATTGTTGCACAACATTCCCACACTGGGATTAGGATGGACAAAGCTCTGTTGTTACAACATTTGGGGCACAATGCATGACAAAGTTATTCTCTGTCTAACTGCCAGTGCACAGTAAATACCCTGTAAACAGGAATGTCAGAATGTGGGCTGTTCTTCTAATTATGAATTTTTCTAAAAAAAAAATATCAGACATAACCTCTTCTGACATATTACTTTCTGTACAAACAAATTATATAAACAGATTTTACTGTAAGAGGCTAAAAATGTTTATGGAAATCTAGTAAAGAGACTAAGCAACTCTTTTACAGTCTTTTTCTTGAAAGAAAAAAAAAATCGATGAGCTACCAAGTTGCTAACATAACCTGCACAGAAATGACTTCTTAGTTGCATTTACGTCAATAAACTTAGCATTGCACGAGAAACTTGCATAACCAGTGATTTGATATTCATAAATATACATGTAAAGATCGAGTTATAGCAACAACCGATTTATATGCTGTTGCTTTAGATTAATATGAACTAACAAACTAGCTAAATTTTGCAAATTCGTTGTGATTACTAACACCAAACATGAAGCACACTCACCTCAAAGTAATGCTGCCGCGCGATAGTTCAGCACCAAGACGCTGTAACGGGCTGTAACCGAACCCCAGTGCACCACGGGAAATGTAGTCACATTGTAGTCACAACGCAATCAGGCGCTGAGCACGCTCCCTTTCACTGTGGAAAAGAGTTACGGACATACCGGTATTTTTTTCCCCCGGATAATAGTCGTGGCTTTATTGTTGTGCAAAATAAATACACACCAAATAAACGTTTTTACATTTCACAGTGTTGCATTGTGATTGTAGTTAGATAACCTTTTGCAATAAAAACGTTCTAGAAATCTTTAAAAGATTCAAATGTAACCAAAATAAAACGTTTTAAAAACGTAACTTCACTCAAGTAATTTGTGAACATTTATTTAGGCTTTGTGTAAGGTAAAAAACTGAATGGGTGCACGAGACAAATTTTACAGCTGACTGGAGCAGGGCGTGTTTTCTGTGGTAAGACATGTATGTCTCTTATTAAACCATCAGTCTCTTATTATACTAACATATTGCGGCTGTAAATCCTGACAAGCTTATTGTCTGGGTCAGGGTTTGTACGCTGAAACATGACAGAAGATACTGGTAGATAATCCTAAACGGGTAGGCCAGATTTTCTGTTGTTAACAGCATATTGTATCTATCAACCACCACAAAAGTTTCAGTAGATATAAATCCGAAGCATTAAATAGATCAAAAACTAGGTTACAATTTTGAAAACTAGTTTGTAAGTTATACAACAACTAAAACTACTCCACAACTGTTTTCTATCTTATGTTTCAGACAGAAGTGTATTGTCAAAAGTTGAAAAACTCAAAACGAACAGAAGAAATGTCTATTTAAATGACATTAAATGTTTGCAGACAGTAATACTTGTTAAAAGTAATACAAAATATGAAGAAAAAAAAAATATTTATTTGGGTTCAGTGTACATCATGCATTGACATACAAACTTCAGGACTGAGATTTTACTGTAATCTAAGAAATTCAGAAGGTTCTGCTTCAAAAATTATTCCCTTGATTTTGTTGCAGTTAAAACGTACTTTCTCCAAACATGAAATAATAGGCAGACCCGATGAAAACAGCTGTATAATCATTACGAAGCTGTCTGACCTCCAAACAGGAACACAAAAATCAGCCTCTTGCTGCTTGCTCTCCAACGAGCATAATCTTGAGCATTCTCAGTATACAGTCAATAAACGAACCAAACATCATCTTCATTAGATCCATTTCTCTTCATTGGCAGTCGGATTGAGTAACAAACAGCTGTCCAATCCCAACAGTTCATTTGATTCATTCAGTCGGTTTCCATGGCTCCACTGTGGGACTCTTTGGAGACCATTAATCTCATCAGCTTCCCATGCAGTTTCTCGATCTTCTTTACATCTTGAGCCTGGTCAGTTTTGTACTGCAGACACTGAAAGAAAACATATAGTGAATATACCATCTTTTACAGAAGACCACAAACAAAACAGTCTACTTGCAAGGGCTCAAAACATACCACAGCATCATCTGTGACTTTCATACAGATATTTCCATCGCAGTGTCGATATTTCAGAACCACTCTGACCTGAATAAACAACAACACCAACAAAACAGTTACAGTGCATCAGTACGCTTCAGGCTAGAATTCAGCAGCCTTTCTCTGCTTGACAGTTACATTTAGAAGCATGTATACATGATGCCATATATTTTATACTCCTACGACATATCGAATACATTTCCACAACTTTAATAAGTTGCTCTTTGACTGTAAAATATGTGAACATGGGCTGTGCTTGTAGCCAGTAGCCTGAAACACTAAGAGGTTGTTTATTAATTACCTTCATCGGATCCGTCAAATAAAGTTTTTCTGCAGCTCGCGCAAACTCTTCCCACGTCTGATAATAAGGCATGATGTAATAAACACGAAATATAGAGTATTTTATTCAATATTTTAGCGGCGTAGCAAAATACAGCTGTTTGAAGCAAATCCCCGGTGGTATAAAATATGGCCACCTTTAGTCGTTGAAAAACGCACTCTGATTGGTCGGCAGCTGAACGCGCCAATAGAAAACGTGCACACTGATGCGTACACACTACGTAGGTACTTGTCGGATTTGAGGATTGCGATTGGTTTATAGGAATAGAATGCGCATATGGAATGACCATTAACGTAAAACAAAATGAAAAGAGGGGCGGAGCTTAGTGGAAGCGTTGTCATGTGGTACTTGCTACATTTTGGCAGCGCAAGTCAGGTTGGGCCGATCATCGTTATTTGTGATTGACTGTATTTAAAATAATTTTATAGTAATTGCTAAATCGGAGTTCAATAGTTATGCTAGTTACATGTCCATTAGAATAACAGATTTTATACAGATGTTCTAGTTACACATGCATCTAGTAAGACTCAAAACGTCCTGCGATTTGAACGCGGCACAGAAGATAATCTTCGGGGGGCTTTTTGAGCCCCAGTGCGCTCCCTGCTGGTACACAACTTTCTGTCTCGTCCCATCCAAATACTAGCTACCTACTTTCCCGTAAATGTCCGGTGAAAGACTGCTAAACTGGCGTGTATTTTAAAGAGAGTCCTAGAAGAGGAATATATAAGAACTGTTATACATTATATAATATTTGTCTTTGAGACAGAGCGTAACTGTCTTGCAAAACAATATTTTAGCAAATTGTTAATGTGTTTTTTTTTAAAAAAACGACATGAGAGTTTTTAAAAGATGTACATTACACCAGAATGCATAACTTAAAGATTGTATCAACCTCTAAATATGGTCTAAAAAGCAATGGCATGAGATACAGAAGCACGAGAATAAGCATGCATACTAAACTGTATAAGAGTGCACCAGTAGATGGAAGATAATCTTCGGGGGGCTTTTTGAGCCCCAGTGCGCTCCCTGCTGGTACACAACTTTCTGTCTCGTCCCATCCAAATACTAGCTACCTACTTTCCCGTAAATGTCCGGTGAAAGACTGCTAAACTGGCGTGTATTTTAAAGAGAGTCCTAGAAGAGGAATATATAAGAACTGTTATACATTATATAATATTTGTCTTTGAGACAGAGCGTAACTGTCTTGCAAAACAATATTTTAGCAAATTGTTAATGTGTGTTTTTTTTTTAAAAAGGGTTAGGAATGCATAACTTAAAGATTGTATCAACCTCTAAATATGGTCTAAAAAGCAATGGCATGAGATACCTAAGCACGAGAATAAGCATGCATACTAAACTGTATAAGAGTGCACCAGTAGATGGCAGTGCAGATCTTTTCAAAGTTGCATTATACACAATTTTAAAAGTGTTTTCCAAATGATATACCTTTCATTTTGCGTTCAGTCATATACCCAAACCACATATTTATTCCCATGTAAGTACCACAGTTCAGAATCGGATGTGCATGAGTGACAGTGGTAGTTGATCTAGTAATTGAGATGTGAGGGTTTAACCTTGCTCAAGTCACACGGTTTGAACACTTGTGATCTTTATGACCAGGTGACAGCAGACAGATCATAGTCAGATGACATACACTTGTCAAGCATTTTAATATGGTGAAGGCTTGAAGAAATATGATCAAATATGGTCTTTAATTCTTTTGCTGGAAAAATGATATTGGCATTTATATATGTTAATCTTCAGCTAATACTGACTTGTAATTTGCGTAGACTGATTTATTATTTTCCGTTTTACTTATCAAGAATTTGTGTATTCTTGTACAAATATTACATATCTGAAGTAGCATATGGGGGCGTGGCCTGTGCGTCTCTTGCGTGGTGACGTAGCCCAGTAAAGCTCTGCGTCGCTGCTGTGGCTGTAGAAGGGGATCCCAGCGGCACGTTGCCGCTGTTGGAAGATCAGGCTCTTGCAAGACCAAACAGAGAATTACATTCTCACTTACATTTTTTTTTTGCGCTGCAGCATCCACATAAGCGGTGCAATGCGGTAGATCATGTAGACCGAGTTCTTTTTTTATTTACTTTCGTTTTTATTTTTTTTTACTTTGCGGGATACAAACTATCTCTGGTCCTGCGGCGTTTCATTCATATCTTTTGTGATCAAGTGCGAACTTTGTAAACTCTCTGAAATTATATAACGCCGAACATATAGCGCGGAAATCACCATGAGGTAAGAAAAATCTCATTTAATTTCAACCCACAGGGAATCCAGATTATGATACATGGAGAGCTGAAAATGTTGTACGTGCGCTATTTGCGCACTGCTTATAAATAATTCATAAACAAACAGTTGTTTTAAATGAATTGGATTCATGATGTGGATTCGCATTAGTCTCTGAATTGATAGTAGTGTTAAAATTAATCGTTCATATTATCACAGCTAAATTGACCAATTAGTAAAATCAGGTTAAGCTCTGCTTCATACTTGCATTATACTTCATATGGGGTGTGAGGAAAAGACGTGCATACACGTATGTGTATTTCAGTTTGAACGATCATGTAAATAGGCAAGAGTTGCAATGCACTAAACTCGAGAAATCCTGTTTGTTTAGGATTCATTATATAAGCGTAGTTGAGTGCATGTGACAACTTTGACACTTTTGTTCATGTTATTAAGAAAAGAAGCATACCAGTGTTTTAACACATTGGGCTCATTTCATATGATGATGCCATTTCTAATCAGTCTATCCCCATTCTGTTATTAGATTGAAATATTGCTGTTTTTTTTTCATTTTTTTTTATGCACTAATATCTTTGTTAATAACTGGTTGATTCAATATTGGATTCATTGCATTACATTGTGTTGTAGGCATGCTCCAAGTGTCTGGTGATCTTGTGAGAGCATGTGTTAAAATGTTCAAGCCTTGCTTTGATGATCAGAATCGCTAAGTATTTCCTCCCATACTCCCACTGAAGACACATGAAGAAAGAGCCAGCTGTTGGCAGCCTTCATCAGAAACGAGCTGCCCTTAAAGCAGAGTTCGGATGATGTGACATAACCTTCCCCTTAGGTTTAGATTAATCTCTTCTGTATTATTTGCCCTGTCTTCCCACGAACCGTGGTGTTGCATAGTAAAGCACCTCAGATGTATGTGGGTTGCCTCTTGTGTCAAAAACAGGATTGTCTCTCGCTCGGAAGGGAGATTGTGCGGAGGCGAATGTTCATGTTTGTTAGCCATAACAGGTGTGGTTTGTGTGGTTTTTAGACCCAGGCTGTTCCCTCTTACTCATCACGAGCATGTGTTGGGATGTGTCGAGCTTTTAACTGTGTGACACGACCGTAGGTTTATTATGTGTGTGAGGAAGGAACCAGATTAGCAATCTTTCTGTGAATCAAATCCATTGCTTAGCTTGGATTCATTTTCTTAAGTTTTTTCACCACCAGTCAAAAGTTTGGACACTTGAACATGTTTGTTTTTTGTGGTCTTAAAAAAAGTGCTTACACCTGCATTATTTTACTATTTATTTATTTAGGTTTTAGCTTTTTAATTTGTCCAAATATTGAATGATCATCATAAGAACTTCTTCAATGCTGTTAAAAAGCATAATTTCGCATCTTTGTTGTTTAATAGGTGATTTCACTCTTTTCCTTAAATGTGGAAAAAGTGGTAGTATAGAATGAGCAGTATGTCCAAACTTCTGACTGGTAATGTATATTTGAGGCTAGTAACTATCTTTAATCAACCCCCTGAAAGGCTGGTTCCAAGATTTCCAAAATTCCAGGAAGGCCAAGTCAGTAACGCTGCTGTCTGGTTCATAGATCATGAAAGTGCCTTTCAAATTACAGATAGCCAGGCTGAATGGACTTGAATAATGTGGGTCATGTGTTTTCATTAATGCATGTTAACTGAAGTCGATCAGAATCAACACAACTTTTGTTTGGAGCACTTTTGTGTCTTTTCAGACTGTTTAAGCAAATTCAAATCAGACTGCTCTTATCTTTAGGCCCAATCAGGGCTTTTTAGAGGTGAAAGTGTCTGTATGAATTAATCAGTATGCTCCTGCTGTATCTATCTGCCATTAGAAAGGACTCAAGCCCCCTCAGAATATTCATGCCTAATCAGAACAGAATAATATGCGAGCACAATCGTATTGAAGGGGCCATTTAAAATGTTCTCTTCCTTTTCTTATTATGTAATTACTCTCTTCGGTAGAGATTTTGTGATTATTGGGGGGGGGGGGGGGGGGGGGGGGGGGGGGGGGGGGCAGATGAGGTAGACACACTATCTCTCTCTATTACACCCTGTCACCCATTATATTTTCCATTTCATCTCTCATTTAGATACAGAGCTCTCTGTGAAGGTTCTTTATCTTTGACGTCAGTGGCTCAGACTCATCCTGTTGCACTCCTCGCTTACCACAGGCCCCACGTTGTTTCTAGAGGAATTTAGATAAAGCAAAAGCAATCGAGAGTGCATTTAATCATAGTGGATTACCACTGATTTGTACTTTGTTTAAAGCGAGTTCATAATGTCATTGAATAGCTATGCTTAGATTGTAGCAAAGCAGGTTTGGATTGACATTATTTTCTTACTGTAATGGACTAAGTTTCATTACATGCAATGTTGCACAAACAAAGTATGTATTGCATTATATTATTGCAATATACTTGCTTAGATTATATTTCCGTAATGCTACGTAGATTGATTTGAACAGTGTAGCTGAATTCAGTTTTCCCATTGATTATCACGAAATGCCTCTCAAATGGAACATGAACATATCGTTTCCATTATTATTCAGGTAACATGTAACCGTGATGGCACATTTGCAGGCAATAAAAGATGACAGTATAATTTCCCCCAACACTCATTGTTAGTCAATGAGACATTGAAGCATGATTTTAAACTTTTCAAGGGCTATAGCAGATGAAGCTTTGGGTAGGCAGATGAGCATCGAATAAAGTGGTGTATTATCATTGTCTTAGCTTAATCGGTATGATAGGAACAATATTTTGGATCTAGCCTAGTTCCGTCTCCATCATAGACATCTGTTGGATAGTCTGTTGCTATCAGACATAAACTAGTCATAAAATGTGTGTGACCCCCTTCCTTGAGTTTAGAGGGAAAAAATGGCTGTTAGCTCCAGATCTACATGTGATTGTGAAATCTAACAGTCTGTTATGGCTTTGTAGGTCCCTTATGAACAAATCGCTCCATGCTCCATTTGAGTAGACTTCACAAATCCTTTATCGTTGCTGCTCTTCTAAATTCAGCCACTTTGGGAGTTCATTTATTTTTGCTAGGGGTGATCACACCTGCTATCATGGCTCTCTGCAGTTTGGATTTTCAGTGAACAGATTCAGTGGCAAGCATCAAGTTGAGTGATTCTGATTACCTCTTATGCAGAGCACAGCACTTTTTCCTATCTAAGGCCTATTTCATATTGCTAATGCAGTTGGTGCATAAGTGAAGTCAAAATAATGCAATTTCTGGGTTACTAAACTGTTTTTCGTTTTATTACTGCAATAAATGAATCATTTGAATTGGCAGTTGAGAATCATTACGAACTTGATTGTCATAAAGTAAGTGCAAAATCTAAACTGCATAGATTATCTGATTTGTTGAAATATTGCAAAACCTGATAGACTGTCAATGAATTAAAAAAATATATAATAATTGCTTCATGATTGCCAAAATTGCATTACATTCTTCTTATGTTTATGCATTCTCAAAGTGTTTTCTGCTAAGTTTAGAACACAAAGCATGGTAAAAAATAAGCTCAGCACTGAAACTCTTCTTGCACGCTGCTTGTGTGGTCACTGTGGACTGTAACTTGTTAATATGGGCACCAAAATAAATATGTGCTGGTTCTGCGTGTGGCGTGCCATGTACCTAAAGTTCCTCTTCTCTATGCACCTGGCTGACTCTACATCGTGTTGAGAGGTAGCAGGAACTATCTATCTACCATATGTTTAGTTTTACTTGGGTTTATTTTGCTTACTTTGTTTCACAGTGAGCACCTGTTCATAGTCCATGTAAGCAGCGACCATTGAGCTATTATTTTGGATTTTTCAGTGGAAAAAGGCTTTAGCTTTTTGTCCATAGCACTCTTTGAGTCTGGCCATGAAACGCATTTTCTTCAGTATTTATAGTGCCTTAGATGCCTTCATCTTAATCAATGCATGTCATCAAGTGATTAAGAATGATTTTCTACTCTGTCTAGTGTCTAGATGCTATTTACACATCTCAGAAAGGCTAATATTGGTCTATCTTTAGACTGAAAGACACCTTGTCTTTTTTTCCCTAAAGGAAATGCATAATTTAACCATTGCATTATTTCCCCTTTAACTAGCTGCATATGCTGCGTCAACCACAAATTGGTCTCTTAATGAGGACAGGTCATTCCATGTAAGCAGCGACCATTGAGCTATTATTTTGGATTTTTCAGCGGAAAAAGGCTTTAGCTTTTTGTCCGTAGCACTCTTTGAGTCTGGCCATGAAACGCATTTTCTTCAGTATTTATAGTGCCTTAGATGCCTTCATCTTAATCAATGCATGTCATCAAGTGATTAAGAATGATTTTCTACTCTGTCTAGTGTCTAGATGCTATTTACACATCTCAGAAAGGCTAATATTGGTCTATCTTTAGACTGAAAGACACCTTGTCTTTTTTTCCCTAAAGGAAATGCATAATTTAACCATTGCATTATTTCCCCTTTAACTAGCTGCATATGCTGCGTCAACCACAATTTGGTCTCTTAATGAGGACAGGTCATGAATGTGCTTTTTTTTTTGTTGTTGTTCTGGGCATTCTTTTTTTTTAAAATTAACATTATAATCTAGAGGAATAAGTCTAATTTTAGTGCATTGCTTTTTTTATGATGCATTTCAACTGACATTGTATTTTCCAATTAAAGTTCTAAAAATCCCACTTTGTAAAACTACTTATGGTAACTGACACATGACCAGTGCTTATGTCTCATGAGCATGGAAATTGGCACTTATCAGTTTTACATGTGCCAAGACTGTTGGATTGATTAACAAGAAAACATCAGAAGCATGTTGGGAAGGCATAACCAGTTGGTTAGCATTTCTTATTCGTGATCCCTTTCTCCAAACATTATGCAGTATGCATTGATGCCTTGGGGCCCTTCTGTACTTCCTATGAAAGGAACAATGCTACAGTTTTCCACCTATTGGTGGTTAAATTGCAATCAATCAGCATCCATTA